ATCCAATCCTTCCAGCAGGTTCCAGCACATGCCAAGGTATACCAGCTACTTCCATGTCATAAAGGCTTAGTCATGTCTCTTGACCAAGCAATGAGCTGGTGCCCTGACAATAGCTTCCATATGAAGCCACAGCCCTTGTGATAACTTCAACACTGAGCTCCCTGAACACCTTCACATCAATCTGGTCAAGTTGGGCTATCATGCAGGAAACAAACATGATTATATTGCTCACATGACGACTTGGTTGGAGAGGTGAGAATGCATGCACAAGTATACCCAGTTCCTTGAATGGGCCAAAAGAATTCTTTTGGCGACTTGGGAGAGGGGGCCCCACCTGCTGCTATGTGTGTGGGCTGGTTGACTGTCACTGTCACCATCACCATCACCATCCCTCACACCCATCATCCAGCCCAGACTCCATGATGCTTGGGCTTAGATGCTTGCCAAATGAAGGTGCTATTCCACATCCCAGACATTCTCGGTAGCCTGGCTGCATGGATTGGTCACAGGCATGGGAACCACCCCATTGAAGGGCACCCTTCATCATGCTTGATTTCATTGCTTCATACACCTCTTCCCACTATCCCTGGTGGTCATGACAATAGCAAAGACATTGTTCACTGCAGGCCTGGCCACATGAACCCTTCCACTGGCAAGCCTGTGGCAAGTATGTTCAACATGGTCCTGGTGAATACTGGGGCCTCTGGTCACAATGGAGGGCTCAAGGGCCTGTCCATGCGGTGTTTGAGATGCATCTTCCAAGTTGCAGGGGGAGGGTTGGTCCCACCTGGACCATTGGTCTATGTTGAATGGTTTCGAAACCCCTGCAGTTCCAACATGGGTGATTGCTTTGCCTGGGTGACAAAAATGCCCATGCATCAAGGGCAGGCCCCAGGTGAGGTCATGCCTCTGGGGGCCATAGTGTGAAGTTGTCACCTCATCCCTTGCATGGGAGCCCAGTATCCCCAGGAATGGACTTGAAACACAGTCTTGGACCAATGCCAGATGTTTGTCATCAATCCTTACATCAACCAACACATGTTCTATCACATGGGTTAGGGTCAAGGGAGGTGTGAGGGTGATGGGTTTAGCTCTCCTGCCCCCCATGCCAGAAAGGACCAGGTTTCCCTGTCCCAGGTGGCAGTGCTTTCAAGTGAGCCAATGGTCTTTTGAATCATCTTCAATAGGCCCAAAGGCACTTGGGCCAAGGACCAGGTTTCCCTGCCCCAGGTGGCAGTGCTTTCAAGTGAGCCAACGGCCTTTCCAATCATCTTCAAAAGGCCCAAGGGCACACAGGGACTGCCACCTGAAACCATCACCTGGATATATGTTGCCTGCTCCACATTGGCTTTGGCTATTGTCCTAAACATCACCAAGCCCTTTAAGGCAAAGACCCTGACCCCACAAAAAGAACCCTTAATGGACCCTGGAAGAAGCCACATTGTATGGAAGAACCCCAAATCATGACATCATTGATCAATTTCATTGGCCCATCACCTAGGCAAACAAGGCCACCCAGAGCAAAAAAATTGCAGGGAAACCATTGTTTGGTTTTCTGAATGAACAAAGCCATGCAATATGAACATCTTGGTTTTGGGTTTGTCTGAGCCAGCAGCTGTGCCAATGTGTGCCTGCACTTCTGCTAAGGGCACAAGGCCAACATCACCCAACAACACCATCCAAACCTCCTACATCCATCCTTGCTCAACCCATATCTGCTTAAAAAGCTCTGCTATACTCTTGGAAAGCTCAAACTCTTTCTTGACAAATGGATGCCCCTCAGTCTACAAACTGTAAGTACCAACTGTCCTGGTTATGGGTGACAGTCTGACAGCACTTGTACAAATCAGTCCCAGAACAAGTCTTTCAAGCTCAGCCAGCACAATGTGGTGCATCAGTACAAGCTCTGGATGCCTACTGGCAACAGCATCACCTTGCCAGCTGGCTTGGTAGGTGACATTGGTGATATTGCCCTTCCTTTTGGCCCTGGTGCTTGGGTGAAGACTGCCCTGAGGGTCTGGACCTTCTATGGTCAGCTGAAGGGGAAGAATGCAGTAGCCCTGCATCCTTTCAGCAGGACCAAAGATTGCTTCGATACTCTGGCAATCATTGATGATGATGGGTCCAGGCACTGGCAGACTCATTCTTCTGCGCACACACAGAAGAATAAGCTCAAGTCAGTGGTGTCATCTGCTCCAGGTAAGCTCTCAAATCAGATTGACTATATTCTTATTGATCATGTTTGCTTAAGTACTCCCAGAGAGCATCACCCTGTTCAGCAGCAGGTGATGCTCTCTGCTGAACATTGTAAGCCTTCTTTCCCTTTTAATAGAAGGCTCATACTTACATATGTGCAGTTTGAAACTGTGAAGCAGGTCCTATCCTAAGGTCCTGATTGGCCAGGCAGGTCCCAGGCTCCTATAGGGACATGCCAGAGTCAGAGAATCCACCATCAGAAGAGGAAAATGCAGTGTTGGCTGCATCACCTGCGGTGGAGGCAGAGGACAAGGAGGAGGAGGAGAAGGAGGAGGAGCAGGAAGAATATGAGGATCAGGAAGAGGAGGAGAGGCAAGAAGTCAGACAAAAGGAGATGTCCATATTGTACATTTCTGGTAAGAGTATTATATTAATACTACTGGGTGATGCTCACCTTTATCCAGATGATGAATCAGGCAAAGAGCATGCTGTGGCCCCACAGCAAGTTGTAGAGGATCCTAAGGGGAAGAAACACTGTGCTCATGGCTTGTCCAATCTAGACGAGCTTGAAACAAGCCCTGTGCAGAAGACTCCTGCCAAGTGCCAGGTGACAGATACCTCATGAGTGGTCAATGTCTCAGCTGACCACTCCCTGAAGCTCCATTTGTTTCAAAGGTCAAATGGCGAGCTCTCAATGACTCAAACCATCTCCCCAGAGCTGGGTGATGCTCACCACCACACTCCCCCCCAACCCTGCCCCAGTGGACCATCCTGCCTTGCTGCCACCCTCAGTGACGGTGACAGTGACCAGGATTTCTCCACTATCATCCATGAGGTTGACCATTATGAGTTCATCCAGAGCAATATGGAAGAGCTCAGCTCCATGTGTTGACAATGGGGCAATGGCTGGCTGGTGGACCTCTATGAAGATTGGACCACCCGGATGAATCCTGTGCATACATCCACTGCACAGGGCCGGAGGATCCTCACTGAGCTTATGGGACTTCAATATCATATCAAGAAGTATCCTACTTGCAAGGTTGACAATTTTCTGGGCACCCCAGGCAAGGTTATCTGCCCCACCCTTGGTTTGGTGATCCAAGATCTCTTGGTACATCAAGGTGATCTCCAGGTTAACCACCTTCAAACAGGCAGCACGCAGTGCATGTCACCAGCTGAAATCATCACCAGCTTGCTCATGCATACTGCCACCCAAGACCAATCTGATCAGATTGTGGGCAACTTCCCAAAAGTGGGATTCGGCAACTTGCCCGGAGTGTCACCTCTCAGCATCACCTCCCTCAAACTTTGCCTCCCCTTGGACTATATGTGTGAATGGTACAAAGTGAAGCCTACCAAAGGAGAAGAGGTCAATACCTTTTCCACCCTGATTCCTGGTGGTGGAGTGAGCAACTGGCATATGGATGGATCTGGTGTGATCATGGCCATCCTCCATGTGTCCAACCTGGTGGAGAAGGGCCCAAAGAAGCTATGGCTCATGGCTCCCCAGACTGAGAGAAACAATGCCATCTTGGCTAAGTTTCTTTATGCTGGTAGGGAACACATGCTGTCTGCAGCAGTGATACCCTTCCTGGAGAATATCCAGCATGTTCTGGTGATGCCCAGAACATTAGAACATACTGCATTCTTCTTGGCTCCAGGAATGTGGCACTGCATGCTGACCCTTGATATCTTGGCACATGTGGCATTCCACATCTATGATGTCAGATTATGGCTGCAGGTTCAGAAGGTGATGGAGTCCGATATCAAGAGAGTGTCCGGACTTGTAGGTGCAGCTGAGCAAGCTGAACAGGTGGAGATGATGATAGAGGAGTTGGATGTGTGGAAAGAGGTGGGAGCACCCCAAAGGTGGGCCAAAGAAGCAAGGGCAGGTCTTTCTTTGTGGCTGGCCACACTGAAGGAGACTTGAGCTAGTTAGAACATAGTAGTACTCCTTTTCTCTGCATAATAATATACCATCACCTCACAGTGTCACCCATTGTTAAGCCTAACATGTCTGGATAATACTAACATTAATCTAATAAAGAGGGACTCAACAAAAACATCACCCCGGATACTACTGAGATGGGTGGCATGAGCCTGTGCCCTGAACAGATTGAAATGGTTAATGAATTTTATTAACAATCTAACTAATGGTAACTACTAATACTTCCTGGCAGCAGCAGGGGCAGCAGCAGTGCCACTACTACTATGGCGGCAGGGTCCCCATTTTTTCCTGATGTTCACCTCGCACACCCGGACATGACGATCAATTGCACGCATATATATTGTCAATACAAGTCTTAGGCAAGAGAGGCAGGACACGGATAAACATCGTCTCCAAACACCTGTTCGTCCATGGTGACTAACCCGATGGGACACCAGATTGTAATATTATGTAAATTCATCCCATGGTGAAATACGTACAATGATTGTAGTGTATAGGTCTATCTCGAACTGTTTGCATAAGATCTACTGATACAACCCTCCTGGATCGTCTGCACGTTTCCAATTAATCTTCTGGCTTCGCTCTCCACCCCTATTCGGCTAAGACGTCCTGGGGCTTACCCTTACTAACCGGATCGCTCCCGCTGGCCTCCCGAGCCTGAAAGACCATCTTCGTCGCTTCGCACTACACATCCCGTAACGCGCTGTGCGTGGCGTAATCCTGGAGTACTTGCTCGTACGTTCCGCACTCTGGCGCTTGACGCAATGCAACAACCCCACGCAAGTCTTCTTAACTCTCCTCGTGTTCTTCTCATGGAGACTCGGTGCATTGGAATAACCTGCAGACACTCTCGATATCCGGTTTTCTCTTTCGCAAATACGTTCGGAAAACCATGTGCACTGCACTTGAGCTCACGGTCGACGGGAAAACATGCAGAGCTCGCCCACTCAAGAAGTTACCGATTGTGGAATGACCAGCTCGACCGTCACCTGCTGACTTCTTGTCTTGCTGCGCGAGCCGAAACTCGTTCATGACCAGAGGGGGACACAGGGCAGGGATCCTTATGAGTTCGCGCTCGCGCATGTAGCGTTGAACAGCGTAAAATGCTCTACATACAACATAGCCGGCATGCAATATCGCAGATTAAGAGGCAGTACTAGCACAATATCAGCAGGTACACATGAGGTACTGGGTTGCTCAAGCACCTTCTGGTCCTGGAATCGGCTATCGTTGGCGCTCCTACACATGTCATCATATCGCATCCGGTAGCGCGCACTCCCTTCGGTCCAGGTGCGAGCAAGCCAACCGAGGTCGACGACGGCTAAGCAGTGGCACTGTTCCACCTGAACGCCGAGCTTCTCTAAACCGTCCTTGATCGCGTGGCGGGTACCATATCGGACGATCTCGTGGTTGTCAAGGACAGTCCGACGTTCGAAGTGCAAGGAATTGAGCGGCGATCAAACAGCGGGCGGTAGGTAAAGTTTGTTGGGAGTTGTATGTGGCACGCAAACGAAGGTGCGACGATACGCAGTTATGCCGCTGGCTCGCCGCGCATGAGTGACACGGGTATTGTCCGTACCTTTACACAACCACAAGGCAAGCGGACTGTGACCAAAACTCGAGCAAGTTGAACGACAACGTCCCGCACCTTGTTACTGGTGGTCATTGGCGTGCCACTGCGCGCCCACCCAATTCCAAGGCATGCTCAACGATATACACACTAAGTGAAAATGGAAGGTAAACGAACATGTTCGATTCTGTTCAAATTACTTGCAGTAAATAACGCCGATCGGCCGTATGGCGTTGCGCGTCCCGTCACATCTCTGTCACGCGGCATTTTTCTTGATACTCCTTACTTTTTTCTCTTCGGTATTATCCTTCAATCTATTGTTCTTGGACAATTCCCTGTTTGCTATTTATCTTTAAATGTCTCTCAACACCCGGCTGGCTAACTATCTCCTCGAGTTTCGCGACCAACATGATCCCGACAGCAACCTCTACAGGACCTACAACAAAGCATACAACCACATGCGACGCCATGGAGAGCCCATCACGAGCGTGGAGGAGGCTGGACATGTGTTCGGAGTTGGCAAGACCATTTTACGCATGTTGACCAACCGACTGGAGAACGATGGAGGCACGAATGCTAGTTAGTAGACTGCTAGAAGATGCGACTATGTTTGACACTGGCATATAGGTGTGCCTGGTCCGTCTCGACGAGCGCCTAGATCATCTGATCCACCCGACTCTTTGCTCAATAACAGGTTTTACAACCCTTCCATGCTTGATTTCCTGGATGAACTGGAGGTCCCGCTTCCGGCATGTCACAGTCGTGGACGGGGAAATGGTCGAGGAGCCAGAGGCGGGGTACAGGCAAGGAGGGGGAAAGGCAAACGTGGACGCACAGACGAAAGAGGAGATGAGGAGTTGGTCGGAGGATCTCCGACAAAGAAAAGAGCATCGGGGTGGAGTGGAGGCATCCCAAGGAATGTGCGGGAGACTGTTGATGATTGCGCCCTCCTGGAATACATGGATCCTCCACACGGTGTTCCTTCTGATTCCTATCCTGGCTTGGGATTTTGGTACTTAGGTGGGTCACTATGCACTATGTAATAGTGTGTGATGACTGAACGTCAGAAAGATACCGACAACACCCGCGTTGCACATTACGAGCAAGCAGAAATCCGCATCGTCGCCCCTTTCGTCCTGCGCAAGGTCGAACTCCCCATAAAATCCACTCTTCCACCTCCCGTCCCCCCGCCGTTCAAGCTTGTCTACCTCGAGGGCCAGCCGTTGTGGACGAAACCGCCTTCTAGAGTCGCATGGGTGGAGGAGGAGCTACTACTCGAGAAAAGCTGGGATACATGTCCTGGGTTTGCGGAGGTGCTGCCTACCGCACCATCGCTAGACCCATGGGCGCCAACGTCAACCAGTAGTCAAGTGCGAAACCCTGTCCCAGACCCTGGTGCAGACGCAGAGGATCTCGCTTCTCTGCTCGCGCAAGAACGGCGGAGTAACATCTGCACCCTCGACCCATCTCGTACCGGTCGCTCAAGGATGGGAATGGCTCCTCAGCCTATGCCACCTCCCTCCTCTATCGATGGAGTAGAATACATGGCGGAACCACTTGATGCAAGACGTGCTGCGGCTGAAGCTGCGGAAAAATGGCACCAGGCGGCGGAGATCGCTAAGAAAGCTGCAACACACTCCTGTTCTAGTCAAACCGCGAAGGACAAAATACCGCCTCGAACCACATCAGCTCCTATCACGGCGCGTCCAGTGCCAGCGGCCACGAATCTCCCTCCTCGGGCAGCTTCAGCTTCCTTCTTTCCTCAACGACGGCTGAGCGTAGCAGAGATCCAGTTCCCTGTCTTCCGGCCTATCGTCATCCCAGCCAATACATACGACATCCTCCTCCTCCTTGACAACCGCGAGATCGGCCGATATGGTAACCACGATGCGATCAAGGACGGCTTAGAGAAGCTCGGCGTTCAGGTAGAACAGCGCGTCTTAGCTGTAGGCGATGTCGTTTGGCTTGCTCGATCGAAGATGGATGGAAAGGAATGCGTGCTGAATTGGATTGTGGAACGGAAACGACTCGACGATCTGTGTATGAGCATCAAGGACAGCCGCTTCCAAGACCAAAAGGTGCGCACGGACCCAGGCATCCTGTGTACAGCAACTGATACTCCTCTAGTTCCGACTGTCTCAATCCGGGCTTTTGCATGTCTTTTACCTCGTTGAGCACTTTGCCGCTGAACGTCTCATGCGCGATCACGAGCTCTTGATCAACACTGCGCTCTCTCGTACGCAGGTCGTCGATGAGTTTCGAGTCAGCGAGACGAGAAGCCAGCAAGAGACGGTCGAGTTCCTCGCGAACATGCATTCTGCAATTCGAATCCTCATGGATGGGCGAGCTCTGCACGTGCTCCCCTCAAGCGTGATTTCAAGAGCAACATACGTGGCTTTTCAAGCGCATTTACGAAAGAGGGAACCCACAATTCAGTATCTACCCACCTGGTCTGATTTCCAGAGTCTCAATACCAAGAATGCGACGCGGACGGTACAAGAAACATGGGCACGAATGTTGCTTTGCGTCAAGGGGTTAAGTGCGGAGCGTACGAGCAAGCTACTTGATCACTACGGCACACCTCGCGAGATTTGGGAGGCATACTGCCGGTTCACAGAGTCGGGAGCTTCGCATTCGGGTGCGAGTGGGACTTCGAGCGATCCGGTAAGTAAGATGAGGGGTAAGAAGCACCTCTCGGGCCCAAAGACGATGCTGGCCGAATTGGGTGGAGAGGGAAGGCGGAAGATCGGAAATGCGCTGAGCGAGAAGATTTGGGAGGTCATGATGAGCAAAACCTATTCTTAATGATTCGAGTTATGAATATTATATCTCTGCGTTGCTTTGTAGTGAATCCACATAATAGCATCTTGCATACAAGTACATATGATCATGTCAGTCAACATTGCCGGTCGTCTGTTCGAAAAACCAATATCTGCATGTGTCCCTCTTTCTCTGCGTCTGAGCTGGTATATGGTCACGTCAATCAGCATTGATGGCCAGGTGTCAATGCTCATCCATGCCTCCCTCTTCTACCCGAGACCTGCCATATTGAGGTATATTCTCTTGCAATCGAGCGTCGTGCAGGGGTGTGCGTGAGCGAGAGGTTCAAGTTAGGAGGGAGGTATACTCAGTGGCACTGGAAACCACCTAAAGACTTCATCAGCCACATACTGGAAGTAGTCGAGCTAAGCATCCACCATTTTCGTGTTTGTTCAGCATGCTAGGGGGAGGTGACGGTGCCGGAGCGGATTCGGTGCAGGGGTCGGAGCCGAGCCTTATATGGTGGGCGGAAGAGGCGGTCATACCTAGAAAGGATGGCATCAATAGTGAAGGAAAGGTAGAAGAGATACGAAGGAAGAAAGAGGAGAGATAAAGGAGAGGGAAGGGGAAACCAGCGTCCTAGGGGAGGGTCTATATCCAGTGCTAGCATCCCCGCGAGGGAATCTGGATACAGCGTCCTCAACCTGGGTCTGGACCTGAGTTCGTTGTGCACCCCGATCTCAGAAAGAATATGAGGTAAAGAATGAAGCAGGAAAAGTAGGAGCATAAACCAAAAGTGGAAAGAGAAAGTGGGGCGGAGGAAGGTAGGCCTCTACCGACTCAGGTTCTGATTGTCGGAGTCGAGTGCGTGTAGGGCGAGGGGCGCCGGCGGGAAGGGCGAGGTGGAGGGGGTGAGATGGAGAGAGTGCGAGGGCGATGGCGGCGGCGGATCTACAGACGTTGTTAGTCATTGAGGTAAACGATGAGGAAGAAGAGGAGTGCTAGGCGACGCCAGCGGAGACGAGGAGGACGGAGGCGACGGTGACGGCGATAGGGAGGAGGGCGAGTGGTTCGAGGGGGAGGGGAAGGGTGAGGGGAAGGGCGACGGTGAGGGGGAGGTGGACGGTGAGAGCGAGAGGAACGGCGAGGGTGAGGTGAGGCAAGGGGGATGGTGACGGCGACGGTGAGGGCGAGGGCGAGGGAGAGGGAAAGGGTGAGGGCGAGGGGGACCCTGAGGGTGAGGTGAGGTGAGGTCGGGGGCGAGCGAGTGAAGCTGTTGCAATCAATCAGTGTTGAATATCAGTGATAATTCGAACTTAGCGTGTGGGGCTTGTACCGGGGCGACGGGAGAGCAGAAGGAGAAGGTAAGGAGGAAGCGAGAGGGAGAAAGAGGAAGGGAAAAGTGGAGGGGAAATCGCCACAGGCCGGTTCTGTGCACAGTGCCAGCACCCCCTGAAGGGGGACTGTGCATGGCGTCCTTGCCCATGGGTATAGAGACAGCTCGGTGTGCACCCTGAGTCTGTATAGAAGGGAATAAGGAAGGGAAGGGAAGGGAAGGGGGAAATGAAGAGAGGGAAGGGGGGAGGGGGAGGGGGAGGGAGGGAGGAGGGAGGAGGAGGGAGGAGGAGGGAGGAGGAGGGAGGAGGAGGGAGGAGGAGGGAGGAGGAGGGAGGAGGAGGGAGGAGGAGGGAGGAGGAGGGAGGAGGAGGAGGAGGGGGAAAGTGAAGGGGGGGGAAGTAAGGAGGACGAACCTCTCAACCATGAAATCGTCCTGTTTATGTACCCCAGCAACAAACACTTCCGCTCGCGTTGTAAACACCGTCAGGTGATTCGATCTTCACATATCCAAAGCAAGCAGAGACAGCATCTTTCAGAGTCGCGACTGAGACCAGCTCGATCGTAGCTTGCATGCCAGACCGCGTTCGTCGCGTCCTCTGCTCGAATCAGGTGACCGCACGGGGACGAGACGCTCTCTTGTGGTATAGGCCCACCCAGATGACACGACATCCTCTGATGCTGTTCCCAGAGTTGCGTGCAGGTCAAGAGAACGTGAGACAGGTTGAACAAGAGAGACAGCGCGTCGGTGAGGTTGACAACGAGAGGGCACGGTTCAGCGATCAAGACAGCGATCCAGGCAGCAGCGAGACGTGCGAGCGCTCCATACAATCTCATCAGATTAACCAGCTCAAAAGAATAGATTGTGGAATGTTCAACGATCTCTGCTGTTCAATGAAGCAATGAAGTAAGTGGATGTCTGTGCATCGGGAAGACGAACAAGGCCGATGAAGAATTCGAATTCGGCTCCGCTCCTTCATATATATATAGGCAAGGTGCGGTAACGGAAGTGACTCGTAAGTGTCGCCCTTTGCCTCCTGCGATGTTCAATCTCGGCCGATATGTCATATTCTTTCGAGATTCAACCGATTGATCCAAATAAGGAAAACGTGGGGAAGGAACGAGTCTGCGGTACATTTGCGAACAGGCCGATCTTCCGTTTCGTACACCGCTGGTCGCGATCATACTGACGCGCTTCGGCCCCAAGCCTTCGTTCTGCTCTGAACCGTCATATCTGTTTGCTCTCCTGCCACCTATTGCTTGACCCATTGTGGCTACTGTCAACACTATGCCGCTCAACAAGTACTGTTGTTTGGTCTTCCGAACCACGTTATATGAACCATGCCACAAGTGAGTGACAGAATTTGCGCGATGTTTAGAAATATCTCTTCTCAGAACAAATTGATGCTATTATAAAGTACAAATGAGATTGTAACAGATATCGGCGATATATGGTATAGCACAGAGTCCACAAAGAAAACAGATATGAGACAGCACAGTCCTTGCGTAGAAAACAAACCAGTGATACAATTCTATTCTTCATCTTCTGCCTCCTGCATCATCTCTCCCCAGAGCGAACTATTGAGCGAGGATATAACTTGTTGGGTCGCAGCTTCGTCAAAGACATGAGAGCTACGGGGTGAGGGTGTTCCAGCCAAGTCGGTCGAAAGCATGCTAATGTCTGATACGCGCCGATCGTGTCGATTCGGACTGGGTGATGGTGATATGTTGAAGCTGGTATCGTGAGAGTGTTGGAATGCTGGTGATGGTATGGGCGATTCAAGTCCTTCATATGCATACAGTGTCCTCCCGTCTGACAGATCCCGATGGCCGATTAGAGGCGGCGTCGCAGGAGAGCTTTCCACAACAATCGCAGGAATGCCTGTCCAAATCCTGAGGAATGAACAACAAGACTAGTCTAGACATTGCGTACCGTGTTCTTCAGCGCGTTTCCGCTGTCTCTCAATCTCTCGAGCAACCATGTATTGCCTTCGCAGGATGATCGTTCGTAACATGGAATGAACTCGATCAACGTTCACGCGATCGGTGACCTGTTCGAGTACGACCTGGCGCTTGATAGTTTCTTCTAGCCTGTTGTGTCACGGTTAGTGCTGCTGTCGCTGTTGATAAATCATGTCTGATCGCATACCTTAGAGCGGTTTCGTCCTTGATCAGCTTGTAGTGGGCGAGCATAATGAGCATATCTGTGAATGAGATTCCACGGCGTGCATTGTTTTCGTCTACAATGATGGCTTCATGATAGAGGCGGTTATATCTCGCTCGCCGACGATGTATTTCGGCTCTGTCCATTCCTGAGAGAACATTCTCCAGCTTCCTCATGTCTAAACCGGCTTTGATGTATTCAAAGCGAGCATTTGCCAGCTCATCGTTTGCACGGGACTCGTCCATGATTGCCTGTACATAGTACTGAGACGGATAGATCTTGACTTCAAAAATTCCAGAGAGGCCCTTGGAGGATGCTTTAGCCACATGAAAATGGGACAAAGATATGATACGTACCCTGAAGAATGAAATGAAGTCGCTGCGCATCAGACGCCCCGTCCTCTCAGGGTCGTACTTGGCCCAAACTTCCTTGAACCTGCGCATCTCATCACGAGTAATCGGTGAGGCGCCAGACATCTGGAAAACGTAGGAAAAGCTTTCGACGACCACACCTATATGAAAATGTTAGTGAAAGATGCTTCAGACCGTGATCCACACACCAGTAAACATGTTCACAAAGATATACTGGAAATCAGATGAGCAACTTCAATAGATTAAGTAACACATCTTAGCGCACCATGCTCAGGACGTTCCACGTTATGAAAAGGGTGAAAGCCCAACCAATGCTTCCACAGTCTGAGTCGGGATCTTGCGGCGTGGAGTTATTACACCTCGGATATACGACAGCACTGTGATTGGAATGAGAAGGGATTCAAGACACCCCTGAAAAGACGCACTAGTCATGCATGAACTGATTCCAACCCTCTCTGAGAGTGCGATCAGCGACCAAAACTCTCTGACGTGGCTAATGCGTACCCTGTGCTCATGAACGAAAGCATCACGAGGGCATTGCCCATGCTGCTGAAATTGATGTTATGCTTCTCTCCGCTCACCCATCGGGTCAAACCGAAAACTTCCATGAATAAGATCGAAAAAAAGATGAATAAGGTCAACCAGAGCAAAAATAGGTTCATTATGGCCGGCAGACTTGCACTGTGAAAGGTTAGCCATTGACAGCCCTCTGGTGATCAAAATCAGGCGTACACAGCGGTCTTGAAGAGCTGATTGAGGTCGTTGTTCTTCTGCACCAATTTGAAGGCAATGCTGACGAGGAAGAGCTTCTGGAGTTGAAGCACAACATTATCGGAAGAGCCAAGAAGCGCGGGCACGGTAGTGGAGAAACTCCCCGCAACAACGAAAATATCGAACAGATTCCAACCGTTGCCACTGAAGCTCTTCCAGCCAAGCCCAGTCAATCGAACAGCGATATCCACGGTGTATATGATAGAGAGAATCAAGAAAAAGATATCTGCAACGATCCATAAATAACAATGGATAGAGAAGAATCTCAACGTACTCTGAAATATGTCGTAGATCAAGACATCTTCATAAGTTTGCGTCCTGTATGGGATTGGATAAGTACTTCATTACGTGCAGAGGAATTCTTGACGCACATGAGACCCACAATATGGAGTAAGTAAAGCACTGTCATAGTCCTCGACCACCATCCATGCTTCTGCACCGCACGATCAAAACACCACCTTCGGAATGGATCACTCGGTGTAATCTCTGGTCGTCGAGCAGGCCTTTGACGACGAATTAGCTTCTGAAGGTCGATCCATTGTCTTTGCTGCGTAGTAAGCAGCGCGCTTCCTGAACGATTACTGAAGTTCGAGATAATAATGCTGACAAAGAGCGTTAAAATGACGATGGCTCCAAGAAGATTATAAACGACGAAGTAAATTGCGTTGATTTCTGATGCATTCGTCTGAGGTTGTAAGCCGGTTTCGGTGATTGCCATTCCCGCCCTTAAGACATCAATCCACCCTTCGAGAGAGACAGTCTCGAACAAAATTAACAGGGAAGAGCCGAAGTTGTCGAATGACCATGAGGTTGATGTCTTTGGATTTGCCCAAACTCGTGGTGCTAAGAAACCCAGTTCTCCATCTTGGATAGGAAAACTGGTATACTCTTCAAAACACGTGTCTTGCCCCGGAGCGCCGATGTCATTGCAACTGAACAGGAGGCCGGCGAACATATTCAAACCCCAGATAGCGTAGGGAATCATATACAGAATAGCGAGCAGAGCAGCATCCACAATTCGCATCGCACCGGCAAAGAGGAGCAGCTGGAAAGATTCACGGATACGACCGATGAGAGTGATCAGACGAAGGGCTCGAAATGCTTTCAGAGATCTAGTAAATCGACTGATACCGCCAACAACGATGAAGGTGGTTAGGACGTTGACGATAAGAAGAATAAGAATGACGAAGTCCACGATATTCCACACACTGAGCAGATATGCATTCGGAGTGAAAGCAAAGCCGTCCGCGATAACCTTGATAAGGAACTCCGTGACGAGAGCCATGACGAAAGCTGCTTCTGTGATGTCGTACCAGGTTCCACGGAAAAGGCCATGTTCCAGATGGTACTCTCTCCGATACACAGGGTTGGCAACTGCGGCCACAGCGATACCACCAATGACAGTCAAAAACAGAACGATCTGGAAGATCGTTTGACGGAAGATTGATGTCTCGCGTCCGAAGATTCGCTCGCCGTTCGCTGGAAAGACAAGCGTCTGACAGAATTGCCGGAGTTTGTTGGACTGAGAAAATATCCAAAACGGCTTGTCGTACGTGGGGTGTTCGCGAATGAAATCGGCTCGTCGGGCGCGTTGTTCAAACCTCGCATCCATGGCCTCTTGCGCAGCAGCACTAGGGTTGGACCCAGTCACATCACCACTACCATCTGTATCAGGAATATCCGAGAGATTGCATGAGATCAAGTATACGCACAACTGACGCTCTGTACCTCCCAACTCATCCGAATCGCCGAAGAATACTGATTCTCGGTTGACACCGCGCAGGGTCTCGAGCGGCACCTCTTCGCGGTCTTCCTCCATAGCAAAGAACTTCCGCACGGAACCGATGAAGCCATTGATGCTTTGTTCCGTCCTTGATTCACCCTACACAGCATCATCAACAACTCAAAATCCAACAATTGAAAACTTACAGCCGTCGGAGCGCCGTAGTTCTCGCGGACCAAGCTTTTCTGCATGGGGAGGACCAAATTGGCTGGCAAGCTCTCCACGGCTAGAGAGCGAGGAGCCGGGCGCATGAACCGATAAGGATTCCACTGACTCATCCAGCTGACGCTGGTGGCAGCTGGCTCGGTTTGCTTCTGTAGATAAGCACTAAGCTGCTCCGCTCGCTTCTGTTCCTCGGCGATGGAAAAATTCTACGGGAAGATCAGAAAGGGCCAGCATGACTGAATGCTGATCTAACCTCGTTGATCACAGCAATGAACATTTGAATCATGATGAAGTTGGCAAATAGGAACCAGAGGCAGATGAAAAGCGCCGAGATGACAAGCTGCTGGAAACTCGCTTCTGCCGAGAGGGCATTATATAGCACGTCGGTCCAATTTTCTGAAGAAGTGACCTGATACATGCCGAGAAATGCGATTGACATCTCGTTGAACGTCATCGGTGTAGCAGAATCAGGATAGGCAGGCACATCCCCACGTAAGAGTTGGACTGCGATGAGAGCGCCGATGAAGTTGGTCAAGAGCAAAAACAACGTCATGTTGGCAAGACCGACGGCACTTCCGAATACTTGGAGCTAGATATGTGTAAATACTACGAGTCTAATTTCATAGAGGATACAAACATACCAGTAACCTCCGCATTCGCGGAATCGCCAGAATCACACGATATGCTCTTGCAATCTGAAATGCGGTGAGCCATGCGTAAGCGCGAGAATCGTGTATGACGGGAATCTGAATGATGGAGGCGACGAGGGCAAGAGTAAGATCGACGATGTTCTGTGCGCTGGAGAAGAACTTGCGCCACATTGGAAAATAACCTATGAGTCGCCATATGATCTCCATATCAAATATAAACGTGAAGGCCATCTCCCCGGCATCTGTATCATGTCAACCAACATGAAGATGATTGGCAGGAATGGACGCACTCAGGAAAGCTGCCTTCTCTGCGGACATGTTCGCGGTTCGCATGGCCTGGACAACGAGACTGACGAGAATGGCAACTACAAATCCAGGCTTGACGAATTCGTACGTCCGGCGTACGATATTCGTCTGCACTTTGCGGCCCTGAACAGACGGCCAGCCGTCGTCCTTCTCCTCGTTCAGCACGGGCACGGGTCTGTGATAGGAGGTTAGCTGTGGACGATCCGGGAAAAGATGCTCCTACACGTCAGCCCCGAACGCGCTCTTCGCCGTCTCCGCTCTGGTAGCCGCGAACGAGTTGGTAATCACCGCGACAAACATGTTTATGAGCCAAAAGTTGAGGACGATGATGCACACGATGAAGAACAAGCACGAAACGAAAAAGTCGGCATCCATCATATCATACATGACGGTGCTCCACGTATTCGCGCTCGCAACGATGATAACCTGCATCGCAGCTGCAAAGATATTGTCAAAGCTCTGGCTGTTGCCGTTTGGGTTGCTAGTGCCTTCCTGGCATATTGAGCCTAGGGGGCAGATAAACCCCTTTGGAGGCTCGGGGCGCTGAACGTTGTCTGCTGTCCAGTAGCTTGTCACGTTGAGTGTAACAGCGTCGATCTGGCCGCCACAGAGTTGCGGAAGGCTGATGTTGAGCGGACCAGTATCGGTGAGGTTTGCGATGAGTACACAGGAACGGCGGAAGTTGCCTCGGAAGGACTGAACACCGATGATCGAGAAGAGGATCATAGCAAACAAGACAAAGAAGGCGACATTGACCAGCAACGGACCGGCGCGTTTGAGCGAGTTCAGGATCGTAGTCGTTCCAGACGTGATCGTTAGCAGACGTGCGGCACGCAGGACGCTGAGAGCGCGGAAGATGAATATATGCTGCGTCGGACCCGTCTCGAGTCCGGACACAGCAAGCCCGAACATGATCCAGAAGCTTACAACAGCAATGGCGTCGATACGCGTCCAGGCGTGGCGGAGATAAGGGCGTGATTGAAGGGAGAGGACGTTCTGCCGTCTTACAGCAGCCTGGAAGGGCGTCTCGATCTGCCGTAGTGAGCCCATGAGAGCGGTAGAAGAGGGATTCTCCATGTACACCTTCCGCTGAGCAGGAGTAGCGTACGTATTCCCGTTGGCGTACACGTTCCCGTTGAGTGTGGTACTGCTGCTCGTCCCTGATTTCTCCCCCACGCTGGAATTGGTCCCCACTCGACTGAGGTTCCTTCCCGAAGCGCTCCGATGAGGGAGGTCGATGACCTGCTTGAACCTGGTTCTGAAACGATGCAGAGTGCCTTGTTCGGTGACGCGTGACGAATCTGGAAATGGGGCCCAAAGGGAACGAAGAGGAGTCTCCGGATCGAGGATAAGTCCGGAGACGAGGATCCTTGCAAGTGCCTCCAGCCTATGACCAACTCAGTTCTAGTATCAGCATAATGGTTATCGAAAGGACGCACGTAAAGACAACAAAGAGTCCAAAGAGCGCAAAGTCTTCCCATGTTCCGAAGAAGCCTGCTTCTCGCGGTGTGGCGTACACGTTCGGCACGGCTTGGATGGTGAGTATGATAACATTAGCAATGATAAGCACAAGTATCATCGGTTCCGTCCACCTATCGGACCATCAGCACAGTCCACGCACAACACCAGTGGGGAGACATACCGCCAAAGCAGGAAATCATGCATCTTCCTACGCACATAATTCCTCGGCCCAAACAAGCACAGTGTTGTCCCCCTGAGCCGCTCATGAACGTCATAAGCCGGTTCCTCCCTCTCCGGGGGAGTTGTCTCTCTCTCTCCATCTTCAGGTTCTAAAGAGCGACCACGCATGCTCTCCCGCTGCTTGACGACTTCCTCCCCTCTTGTTCCCAGACGCTGGGCGACACTTTGCCTCAGGGTCATAGCATCCTGATCCACTCCTCCAAATTCGTCGTCAGGTAACCGAACCCCTCTATCCTCTCCACCGTTGCCGAAGTTGACGACTCTCACACTGACCCGCCTCAGGCTCTTCCCCATAGCCTTCATCGCCTGCCCCGTCACGCTCGTCCCTCTCGCATGTCTATCTCTCATTCGCCCTGGGCTCTTCCTCGGTGTCGACCGTGCACTACCAGGCTCTGCGGTGAAGGACCGGTCCCCTTCTGCGATGGAAGCGGTAAGGTGCACCGTATCCTCTTCTTCCTCCGCGTTGAACCCCGGCGAATCCAGGGCCAACGAAGCAGTGGATTCCATCGCTTCCCTCATATGTCCAAAGCTAGCTCGTGGCGAAGACGATCCAATGGCGAGGGAGAGGTTGAGCGGTTCCGGTTTGGGAGATGTACGCCCTCTCGCTGACGGTACCTGGGATGAGGAAAACGAAGGGGAGAGGTTCGGACTCCCCCAATTCGGGGGTACCTCCTGCGGTGGGGCGATGCCGAGCCCGAAAGGAGAGGAATCGGGCAGGAGAGACCAGCTGAGCCGTCTTGATAAAGCGTTGGACTGCGCTGAGACCGGAGAAGAGGGCATGTAGGCCGTCGTGGATCCTCGCTCTGCGGATGGAGGTCGGGACATGGGCTGGTGAGCTGAATATAAGGCGCGTATGTTGCACCTTAGTGCTCTTTTTGATAGTAAATAGCAGAGTATGAAGTAACAGAAAATAGAAAGCAGAGAATACTTAAAAGGCGATGTACTGCGTGAGGGTTACAATTGAACTGGGAATATTACTTGGTTTTAGTGGACGCGTCCAGAATAGAATACATAGCGACACACCGCCACATCAAACTGTGCTGGCTTCTAGCGCTTAGTTAGCACGATCGAGGTTTCAACCTGTGCAATTATTATCACCCCTGTATTGCAGTGCTACATAATGATAATGATATTCTTTGGATAGTATATGCTTGGTTATGGGCAGACATGACAACCAGAACCATTCTTTAAGGAAGCACCGGAAGATTGTCGGTTCCGAAGGGCAATGGTCGTGATCGACAAGAAACACGTCACGTACACCCTCGTCGAAATTGTTGTTAACTACATACCTGTTTTTCCTAGGCGTTCTCCTAGGTATACCTGAATACACAGTACTCTATTCACAGCGTACGTCACTTGAGAGCACAACGGAGCTCCTATAGACTTCAATTACTCCTGTGTTACCAAGAAGCTTTCGCTCCCTTCATGTCAACTCAAGCAGGAATATGCAGATTGGCGACGGAGGGGAATATTAAAAACAACACGTCCTCCAACCACAACCGCAGAACTACAGCTCAGAGCCCGTTCAAAGCAGCCCCATAACTCCTAGGACTACACTGACCAACAACATCGGTAATTCTAACTTCCCGCGCTCTGCAGCGCTCGCAGTCTGGGATGGCAAGCCCGAAGTCCTCGGGGGGCTCCCATTCGCCCTCCCACCACTCCCAGTCCCCGCTCCCGTCCCAGCTCCAGTCGCAGTCCGAGTAGCCGTAGACCCACTCGCCGTAAGAGTCGTCGTCCCGCTCACAACTGCGTTCTCCACCAGGGACACCGTCTTGCAGCTGCTTGATGCCGGGGCGGGGTGTGCGGAGGGGGCGGGACCACCATTATGTTGCTGTTCTGAGGGCCAAGTACTGGTACCGTATACGCCCATCGGTTCCCCCGCATCCGCGTCGCAGGACGTGAACGTGCCGTCATCGTAGTTCCCTAATGGTTATTGAGCTTAGTTCATCGCAAAGACAGGAAACGCACCAGGCAAATTCCACCGACAGCCCATGACATCATACACATGGTTGCACACAACAGCAGCCTCGGGGCCATCCAAACACGCCCTGATGCAGAACTCGTCATGCGCCATGAAGCTCGTCCACTCATGATACTGCCTCATTGCGCCAAACGAGTTTCCGAAGACGAGTCCTCCGTGCGGGTTCCCCAGTCCGTCAGCGCCGTGTGGGTCGAGCTCGCCACCCGTGTCACCGGCGGGGATGTTGAGGGATGTGAGGTCGCCCAGGCCTGTTACTTGCACGTAGGAGGGGGTCTGCACAAAGTGCGCACTGCGCAGGGTGTTCCCGGGGATCAGGCGGGTTCCGTATCCTGACTGAAGGGGGATTAGGCACATAGGATGGATGGGGGGTAGGACACACCTTAAGACACCAGGAGACGACAATCGGCTCCGTCTCCCCAATAGTCGAGTTCGGTCCCCCATACGGCGGGCCCCACAGGCAGAAATCTACACCCAGTCAGCACTATCTCCCACATCTCCATGCACTCACCATCTATTGCGTTCACAAACACATTCTGGCACACTGACTCTTGACTGCTGCCGGTGCCACAGCGGTTTGTCCCCAGCTGCTCGGACTCGGACTTGTCAGGCAGGCTCGTGGGGTCGTACGTGGCTGTATACTGGGAATAGGCTTGTAGTGCAAGGAAGAGGAGGGGATACGCGTGCATGGCTGGTTATGGTGGAGAACGGAGCTGGAGTTGACCGAGCTGAGTGTTATGTACCTTCTATAGACGCCAAGGGCGTCCTCGTCGGCGAGCCAAGCATGCCAGGTCGTTCCGATCCGTTGGCAGTTGTCGGGTATTAATGAGAGAATACGGAGCAGAGGAGGGATGAGCTCAGAGATGAGGGCGCCGAGTGCCGGTCAAGAGCGGGCCAAGGACGATGAACGGCGCGGCGGGCTTGGAGGCTTGGCGGACACGATCGGCGGTAATCGAAAGGTTTTCACAGAGAGGGAACGCGTCTAACATGTCGTTAACGCGGTCAGGTGATTAGATCTATGTGATCGCAGCGAGAGACATTCATGAAGCAGAGCTGAGTTGTGTTGAACACGTCGACGCGTCCATTCAGTGCGAGTCGTTCGGCGTCGACGCGTGTGCTTCCGACGACCAACTGATGCCACGATACTCTCTGTCAATCTTCAACAGCCATCTACCACGATGCAGACTGTACGATTTACGGACAACAAGCTGCATGTTACTAGAGCGACGTGCTGCTGGATGAATACCTCGATGTCAACTTGCTGGCAGTCATCGCATCGGTCAGCATGGAACCGTTCCCTAACAGGGGAAGGACTGTTTCTGAGGCGACATCATATTCCAAACCAATATTGTCGTCCTCACCGTATCTGCCAGCTCCACCCTCTCCCTGCTCATCTGCTCATCCTTGACTTCCCGGCAACGACTTTGTCCCTCCCAGTCCATCAACCCCAGCTTCCGGAACTACTAAGCGCCTAAACTCACCATGCCCACGCGACCTCTTGTGCTGGTAACAGGCGCTACAGGCTTCATCGGCACCGCGATCGTGCTCCATCTCATTGCGCAGGGATATCGCGTGCTTGCGACTACGGTGCGCCCCTCCCTGCTCTGATGCCATTCCTCACTAATACACCACATAGCGGTCATTTACAAAAGTGAACTCCTTTCTTTCACGTCACCCGCGCCTGGCTGACTCAGTAGCATGGACCATCATACCCGATATGACCTCCCCCTCTGCGTTCGACAGCGCTGTCACAGGCGTAGATTATATCATCCACGCCGCTGCCCCAGTGAACCGCAGCTGGAAGCCATTTGAGGCCAGCGCGATAGACGTCGCTACGAAGGGAGTGACGAACCTGCTTGAGGCGGCGGCGAAGGCGAGCAGCGTGAGGAGAGTGGTTGTGACGAGCTCTTTTGCGGCGGTGTTTGATCATCGGAAGGGTGCCAGGGTGGGGTACACGTACACAGATAAGGACTGGAGTCCGCTCACGACAGAAGATGCCAAAGAAGGCGGTGACCCAGCCTATGTCGTCTCCAAGGTACGCACACTCTTCCATACCGATGAAGTCTGCTGAAAGATACCAGAAATTGGCAGAACAAGCCGCTTGGGACTTCATCGCCCACCACAAACCCCATTTCACGCTAACGACTATCTGCCCTCCGCTCGTATTCGGCCCGCCCCTCCAGCCGGTGGATAGCATGTCTGAGCTGAACACGAGCGCGGACGAGGTTTGGAAACTGATGAACGGGAGCTGTGGGGTACTGCCGCCGACGCTTATCCCCACGTGGGTTGACGTGCGAGATGTGTACGTTTTTTCTTCTCTTGGAGAGCCGTGTTCACATCCGATAGTGCAAGGAGACACGTCGCCGCTCTCTCCCACCCGCACGCCCCAAACCAACTGTATCTCACAGTTGCCGGGCTGCTCAGCAACGCCCAAATCGCGCACATCCTCGGCCAAGCCTTCCCCGACCTTTTGGCAAATGCCCAGATCCCCGCTTCTAATAACGAGCCCCCGCCCCCGATGTCTGCCGTAGATTCGAGAAGAGCGATAGAGGATTTTGGCGGGTGGGTGGCGATGGAAGAGAGTGTGACGGATACAGCTAAGGCATTGCTGGAGCTGGCGAAGAGGGTGCGGCCTTGAGGGAAACGAGAGCGTGTTGGAGGTTGCTCTTAGATGGATTGCTGGACGAATTGGGGATGAGGCTGTGCGTTGGGAATGACGAGTCCGCTGGAAAAGGAAAGGTGAAAGATATTTATTCCGGATCTTAAACAAGCACGAACAAAGCATTGACAAGAACGACTCCGACGACGCATTCCATACAATCACCCTCTTCATATGTACGATGACCGCAGATAGAGAACAAGATCTTTGCGATCGGCGATAATCTCGGTTCCCCAGTGCAGGAACAGAAAGCTCCCAAAGTTGTGGGAAATACGAATAAGAAAAAAAAGTTTGGATCCGTTCCTTCATATCAGTCAACCATGAACTGGAATCCCGCGATTTGGTCGCCCACAACGGCAGTTACCATCCTGATCCACTGGTCTTATCGAAAGAACGGCGATAATGCGGCTCTGAAGGGAGATCTGGAGCCTGAAGCGTGGTGGTCTTGGTATCGAGGATGCTGGAAGACACGAACACATTCGCGGAACGAAGACTGATACCCCACAATTGTCTCATATGTCAAAGCCAAAGTGTGCTCGATCAATACCCTGCTCCTCTGGATAATGCCGAGTGTCCAGCTTCTTGCTTTTGTGTTTGTTTGAGCACCGAGAAGCTGTCAGAATCCTTCTGGGACCGGCCCGTCAGTGCCCGCGTGGAAAGTGATGGTGCACGGACCACCGGATCCAAAAGATAGACTAGCATAACAGTCACAAATCGCGTTACCCCAACGGATCTCCCTCTCCTCTTTCTTTTCAACGGTCACCGCTCTGCTTTTTTTTTGCTCTGCTGCTTGATCGCTTTGAAGTTCTCTGCTCTGCTACTTGCTGGTTTCGAAGCTCTCTGTCTACTACTGTCGACGATGCCGTTTTATCCTGCGTACTCGTACAACCCCTTCCCACGTGTTATGGGGCTCATGCCTCCGAGGAAGCCGTTCGTAAAGTACGTCGCCTCTGTTATATCATGTCAAGTCATCCGTGCTGACAACAACTTCATCAGGCCTAGAGCTTCCACTGGCAGTGCCATCGTCAGGATGGCGTTGCCGGCCTTCCACCCCACCCCAACCTCTCCTATCGACATCGGACCTGCTGCGCTTCCTGCCCTCTCTACTCAGTCTTCTGATGACGACGAATCTTTCTCCTCGGAGAGAGACATGTCCCCCTCCGTCCTCACGGACTATGAGGACAGCGACCTCGACAACACCGAGTCGCTCCCGCACTACGTCAGGGCCGAGGCTAGTGCAACAGAGGTCACCGCCGCAGAGAAGCTGATCTGGTACCTCCTGTTCGTTGTCTTCTCTATCGTTATGAAATTTGTTCTGACATTCTCTGCAGCCATAAGGCCGGACAGCTCAAGAACCGGCATCTCCGTGAAAGCGTCACGGAGTTCCTCGAGCACATCCTGAAGGCGAAGCACTACTTCGGGATCGTCGGCTCAAAGGAGAAGGCTGCCTATGTTGTTGCCTACGTGGCAACAGCATTTGAAAACGACGATGAGGATGAAGAGATGGAAGCAACTGAGGAAGAGGTGGAGCTCTCTCCCCACCGAAACCTTTCACCGGCCGAATTGTGCACGATCTATGCACAGGCGGAAGATCTCGACTACAACCGGTGCCCTCTTGTAAGCAACTTTCTACAGCGTCCCTCATTGTTCTAACCAGTTATCTGTCTCAATGTCTAGAAGACTGCAACACCCATCATCGCCGGCCATCAAGCTGAAACCGGCATTGCATTGCAGATGAAGGATGGTGCCCCAATCAAGACCGTGCTCCAGGCTGCCCCGCTCACCCTGTCCCTCATCGTCGAAACACCAGTCAAGGCCACCGCTAGCATGACGATGCATGCCAGCTGCAAGCGCTCCAACATCGCCGATCTGAACGACCTCGTCGCCCAGCTCCGTGACATGAGCCTCGAGCGCTCCGTCACGGACATCTTGCACGACTTCCATGCCATGCTCGACGACATCATCCACCCTGTCCCTGCGGCCTTCACCCCTCCCACACCCTCTTCTCCCAAACGTACCCCTGAGGAATTCTCCTCTGGTGACGAGGGAGATGATGAGGACAGCCAAGCCCGTCATCGGACCAAGCGCGCCAGGAAGAGTCTTCCCGACGATTCCTCGGAGGAAGAAGACAGCAGCGACAGGGACAGCAAACCCGCCCGTCGTACGATTCGTGCTCACCGAACGATCAAGCGTTCACCTCATCGCACACAGTTTGGCCGTGCACTGTGAGCACGGCACGACGCTGCCTTGGCCCTAGTGGTCGGGGCGGCACTAGACTATTTATTAAGTGAGTGTGATCCTTTGGTTGTATTCGAGATAAAGCTATTAAACGCAAAGTACCCAGCTGTTCACCTTGCTGTACGACAAGATCTCGTCAGGAACCAAAGGCACAGCTCTTATATATGCTGGCAAACCAAATGGCAGGTCGCTCTGCGCCTCATCGAGGTCTTGCCAGCTGTGCAACATGGTCTCCATCGCATTGTGGTCAACTATCATCAATCGCGTTCGATATGGGCTGGGAAAGAGGAGATTTGCAGGCCGGCCCCCTTGGTGGTTGGGGAATTGAGGCGTCACACGTCTCTCTTCTTTGTTTCTCTTCAGTCCTCATCCCATCCACTGCCGTTTGTTCCTTAGCAGCGGCTGTATCCCCTTCTCTTTCTCTTTCTCCTCTTCTCTTTCCTTTCCATTTCTCTTTCTTGCCGCCTCAGCCGCTGCAAGGCTAGCTCAGATGAAGAGCTACCTAGCGCGTTAAGCGACCTTTCTGCGTTGTTCCAACTGCCCTCAGTCACTCTGTTGGCACGTTTACTTTGTGTTCCATCCTGTTTCCTGATTTCATCTCTGCTTCACAATGTCTCATTGTCTAATGTATCCGAGCTTTGCCTCTGGGCATTGCACGGCTAGTACAAGTAGATATAGAATTGACGTTTCTCTTCCCACACCACCCTACTCATTTGACAACGCTGTGCAAGCTTCGCACCGGTAGAGCTCATGACCACAGAGATAAGTTCACTGTTACCGAGCTCTAACCTCGGAGATATGCAGGAAAGAATTTCCAAAAACAAATACTGATCCTGAGCCAGCACTGAAAGGGGCGACATTCGGGCACTCTGATCCTCATCAGGTTTCTCCTAGACTGCACTGTCGACTTCCACGCATCGGATGGAAAGGACATGGCTGCCAGTGACATCAGGGATAATAGGTCGAACGTTTGAGCAACAGACAACTGTCGTCCAATCCAAGGAGAGTGGTCTGAACGATCAAGAGCCGGAGGTGCGGTACATTGAACGGTAAAGCGGAGCACAGATCGGTATATCGCGTGCCGATCGTACTTCATGCAATTGGTTTTGCATCTCGGTACAACATCACCCACCAAAATCTGATGCGAGTCCAGGGTGAAGCGCGTACCCCGATCCCCGGATTGAACGGAACAGGATCGCACTTTCTCAACACTCCTTCGGAAGTTCATTATCACTAGCTGAGCCGCGGACATCGATGGGAAAATTACAAATGAATGACAGCAGCATGAGGACATCGTCGTGATTTGGCTTCTGGTTCGTGCTGGGGTATTTAATCGCTCGAAAATTGCAGCTGTCGAAGGGTTTTTCTCTTCATTATGCCATTCGGTATTCGACAACACAGTAGCAAGACAAGTCAATCATGTGTGGGGAAACCCAGGTCGTGCTCGTCACCGGCGCCTCCGGGTTCGTAGGTGCGGCCGTCACGCTCGAGCTCCTGAAACAAGGGTACAAAGCTAAGGGTACAGTCGTACGTCACCCTTTAGCATCTGGGTCGTTGCCTGAGATTCCACAGCGCTCGCAGGAAAAGGCAGACGCGTTTGATGCGGTGTACCCCGAGCATACGGGGTCCATCACCTGGTCGATCGTCCCGGGCACTGGATACCGTCGTGCAAGGTGTAGATCACGTATTGCACCTCGCGTCGCCCTTCCATTACTCTGCCAAAGACCTGGAAAAGGAGATGCTCCAACCGGCGCTGCAGGGTACGCTGAACGCCTTAGAAGCGGCGAGCAAGTAACCAAGGGTCAAAAGAGTGGTGAGCACTATCAGTCTTGCCGCGGGGATCAACTTGAGGCAGGGTTATCGGCCCGGGTATACGTATTCCGAGCTGGACTGGAACCCGATTACCTGGGAGCAGGTAATGATGATCGGAGATCCCGCAGTGGCGTATCTCGCTTCTAAGGTAGGCCGATGTTGGTAGATTGGGGACGGTTTTGACGCTGGAAGACAGAAATTCGCGGACCAAGCAGCGTGGAATTACATGAGTACCCACGCGCCGAAGTTTGCCTTGACGAGGATATGTCCCCCGATGATCTTCGGGCCGCCGATGCAGCCTGTAGAGCGGATGAAAGAGCTGACCATGAGCACAGCGGACGCGTATGCCAGTGTGGACTGATGTTAGGGATGTGTAAGTGTTTGATTCGCGGGCTTGGAGGAGATCAGCATCCGGTGAAGTGTGTTGACGGTGTACTCACAGGGCGAAACTCCACGTCGACGCCCTTTCCCATCCTGCAAGTGCCAACCAGCGGTATCTCGCTATAGGGGGTCACTACTCCTATGCCCAAGTTGCACATATCATAGCACAGCATCAACCGGAGCTGGCAACCGCGGGCAAGGTCACCCCGAGCGTAGGAGAGCCTGCGACGCACTTTGATACTGACTCGGGGAAGGCGGAGACGGAGTTCGAGATGGGATGGAGCTCGATCAATGTGTTAGAGATACCGTGGATAAGCTGTTGGAACTGGAGAAGAAGCTTGGGGTTTGAATGAAGCCCGAAGTCATCATGAGTACTAGTGCCCGTAGTGTAGCGTTACCAAGGGTACGACTCGATTACTGTCGCTCATGACGAAGGACAATATAAATTTCCAGTTTCATAAAGCACTTCGGCGTTAGAGTACTCGAACTTCTGCCGAGGGACGCGTGGATATAATATGTGTCGCCATGAGTCAGTCGGGATTGAGAAAGCGATGCAACAAAGCGATGTAAGAGGTGACTGTTAGGGCATAAATATAGCAGGTGAGAAGGCTTGTCCCTCCTTTGTTCCTCGGAAGCGGACACAATCTCCCGATCGGGTGAATGACCCCGGATACCCCTTTCCATTCTGAAAGGATCTCTCTTTGAGCCGCAGTTACCCATTACGACGGGACGTCAACTCCCTTCTACTCATCTCAAAACTGATAGTATCATTTTCACTCTCTGCCTTTCCTCGACCATTCATTACATTGTTGAAATTGCACTCTGGGCATTGTCAGTCGACCGTCTTCACGTCACTTGAGCAGTACGGATATCCTGGCACCCAACAATACCAGACTACAGGACATGGCGGCTACCACTGCCGCCACGTCTCCTAAACTCGATGCGAGTAAATACATTTTATCTTCCGTATGTTCTCTGAAACCGCGCCAGACCGAGGCCCCTAACCGTGACCGAGTCTCTCGCGCCCTCGGCGCCGCATTCCTCTCCCACCAAGTCGACAACCTCCAGCGCTCAGTGGAGGATATGTCCTTCTCTCGTGCACCAGGAGGTCCAACTCGTGGGATGTACAGCGGACCCTGTGGCCGTAGTGCCTCGCCATCTCCCCCAGTCAAGGCTGCGCAGAACACTTGGCCCGCGCCTGGAGGTGGTGTAGCGGGAAACAGAGGGAGGGGGAGGGGTAGTCCCGGAAGAGGATATGCGAATGCCGTGACCGGATCGCGTGGACAGAGTCATCGGGACCGTGAGCGGGAGAGGCAGCGGAGAGCAGACGAAGACAAGGAGTTCGATCGGTCGCTTCCCGTGGCTGCTACTATCCCCCCCAGGGCGATTCCCGCGCCGATTCCCTCTGGGCGCGCACTTCCAGAAGTGGTCGATGACCGGGATCTGCCTGATCCTGATCAAGAAGAGAGGGAGATTATGGGCATACATGGACATGGACCCCAGGCCATGAATCCGATCCTTTCCTGGCGAGTGGAAGTCGCCCGGGACGCAGATAGCGTGCCTATTCTCAAGGCTATCCCGTCGCCTGCACTCGATGCCGTTCCTATCGACTATCCCGTTACACCCGAAGTACATACCGGCCCAGCAGTGCCGGCGGGTGTCAACCCCCTCTCTTTCCAGCGCCGGCTTGCCGACCGCATTGTCCTCGACTCCTCCGTGCTAGTACATTCGCTCGGAACAGTACGCAAGTGGTGCGGCGAAGGCAGGAAGGAGGAAGTCGTCGTTCCCCTCGAAGCGCTGAATACGCTTGATTTGTTGAAGAAAGGTTCCTCCCCTTTGGCCGGGAGTGCACGCGCTGCGAGTCGCTATCTTGAGGACCAGGTGGGCATCAACCCGAGGATCACAGTACAGGGTGAGGAGGCATACATCCCTTGGGAGCAGATTCCCTCGGTCATCCCACTCGCGCTCGTGTCATCCATATCCCAGCACACCCGAACAGCGTCGGTCGACTCCTCGCCCGCCCTCGGCCCTGGCCCGCTGACGACCCTTTCCGGCTTGCGCACGAACAAGATCGACTGCCCGGACTGGATCAAGCGCACATTGTGTTCCGCGGCGTTCGAGTTTGTGAATGCCTTGCATCAACAGAGCTGGGGAGCGAGAAAGAGTGTCTTAGCTGTGATCGCGCCCCAAGGAGATAGGCTTCGGGGAGATGACGATACCCAGCGGTGGGAAGGACGTGCAGATGGACGAGAGGTGCGCGCCTGGGCACAGGAGATGAACATCCTCCTGCTCGAACTGGGGAAAACTCCCCGTGCCGAGAGGGAGAGGCGGAGTGTGGACAGCGATAGGGAGAGATTTGGACGTGCTGTGAGTGGAGCAAGCGGGGGAAGGGGTGGCGCGTTTGGTGGAAGGGGCAGGGGCAGGGGAAAGCGAGGTGGCAGAGGCGCAGGCTCCGGTACAGAGGCAATCGTAGACAAACCCGTGCAAGAAGCGCCTCGGGTCATCAAGGTTCTGGCGAGAGGCGAGAGACTGGACACGTAACCCCCGGTCCCGTCTCCCTATTAACGATCCTGAAGTACGTGTTACCCACTCTATCGACGGAGATACTGATCCAAAGGCAGCAGACAATGCCGCTACCGCAAAGCGGCATATCTTTTCTAATCGCCCGTTCCTGCAAGCGAGATTATAGCCCTCCGGTATCGACGTTCGCCCTGGTGCTCGACGAATTTCGCCTGCGTGACCCCGCTCGTCCTCGCGTTCTGCACCATCATGTCAATTCCCATCTTCGTCGTCCTTGCGCTGAATGCTCGCCGCGATCGACGTTGCTCCTGGGCTGTGAAATGATCGCGTGATAACTATGCTTTCTTGTCCTGATGCCTCTCTCTTATTGTCTTCGTTTTGCGTCTGGTACGCCGTTCCTCCAAATTTTGCCCCTATATTCCTCCAAATGGGTCTACCCCTTTCAAGCGCCGTGCGCGCAAACGCTCTACCCGTGAGAGCATACGTCACCACGATTTCTCCTTCGTTGATTTCTTCCTTCCAGTTCTTCCTTTCGCTCTTCCTATGAAACAGGTTCCTGTCGTAGGTAGACGCATATGGCAAACGGAAGGATTATGAGAATGATCGGATTCACCAACTGCTCGCAGGACGTATCTAGTCCAATCCCCAATCCCTTCCTCTTCCTCGGTCGTCACCAGCCATCTCTTTCGTGATCGGTGATCAGCCTCAGCTGGATATTTTTATCTCTCAAGGGCTCACGTGAACCCTGACCTTGGAACGTAAACAAGCGCCCGTCTTGCACGTGCTTCCCTCTCACCGAACGGTCAGATAAAGTTCGATCACTCGCTATGCCCGCCCTTGTCAATCCCGACCAATGCGTTACCTCCCCCTTCTTCTCAGCTTCATCCGCCACACGCGTCTAGAATCGTGATTGTTTTCATTCCTGACGACTTCCGGAAGTCATGGAGCGGGCAGCGCTTCCGGGCCCAGGGATGGGATACTGCTGATGAGCACTCTCCGACTTCCCATCTGTGCTGGGTACGCAAGTGCATCATCGTTACGGAAGATCCAGACATATTTGTGGCACAATAACGCATGCGGATTTCAGTACTCCAAGTGAGGCGTGGGTGGACAATTAGTGGAGAGGCGCAGGAAGCTTTACTCTCCTCTGGGGCACATATATAATCCTGTGTAAGTCGCACTTCTCCACGGATTCGATTCCTCCTTTAATCTCTCCTCCTAGCAGTATATCTGCACATTGTTTCTGGCAATAGACGCCTTGCCTTCCCCTCATTTCAAACCAAGAGAATGCGTCCCTCCCTGGCCGCGCCGCTCCTTCCCTCCCTCTCCCTCTTGATCCTCCTCACTATACCGTCAATACCCGGTACACTCTCCCTCCCAATTCCGAGGGATGAAGCAACGCAGGGTTTGGATTTGCGTGCGCTGGAGTTGCTCGAAGAACATCAGGCGCGAGCGGCAGAAGACTCGTACAGGCACATAGCACCAGGCGAGGGAACAGGGGCCACAGGTCAGATTCTGCCTGCTGCTGCCGCTGCCGTTCCCCTTCAAGGATCCGATGCGGCCCAGCCTGTTGCAGTTCCTTCCACTGGTGACTCTGCCGCTTCGAGCTCGTACGCCCTTGGTCGGCTCACAAACTCTTTCATGCCGGCGATGGAGGGCGAGGTGGAAAACACTATGTTCACTATTGAGCGGAAGGATGCAGAAGCGGCGCTCTTACATATGGAGACCGTAAAGAGGGGTCTGGAAAGTCTCGAGGCGTGAGTATCTCACCTGCCCTCCTCTGAACCGTCGGAGCTTATGATTAGGAAATACAGGTTGCTCAAGTCGGCTGCCTCTTTGACCAGACTATCGGCCTTCAGAGGGCTGGGAACCCCGCCTGAGCCGCCCACACTTAGAACTCCCCCCAAGGCGCTATCCGATGATCCAGCGCTGCACAAGTCCCCCCGTCTGCGCAGACCCTCTTCGCCCGAAAATATTTTGGACGATGTACCCGATCTGATGCACAACGAACACGCGCATCTCGCGGATTTGTACTACGGTGCCTACCCAAGCGACGAGCTTTTCTACAATAAAGATGTGCACAATGATCTTCGTGAACCTGTACCACTCGTTCCGGTGAACGTGGAGAAGTTTAGGGACTATTCGGCCCATCCACGGATGACGGCCGAGGAGTTCTTTGGGCGGAATCGCAAGAAGGGGACACACTGAGCGCTGGACGCGCTGATGCCGTGGATCTATTGTTGAGGAGGGGACACTGTTTGCTGACTATGATATCTGTATGTCTTACTGTCCGGCGCGTACACGCGTTTACGGCGCCGTGTAGCCTAGTAATCCAGTAATTGTGTAATTCACTGTTTGAGACTTGGTAATGGGTGGATTTGCAATTGCCGCTCCTTCATCGCGATGGACCTGACATACCCGAGATAGAACAATAATTCGTGGGGAACGTGCACTACCTAGTATGGTCACCCACCTCCGTGAACGTTGATGAAGACCGGCAGATGTTTCTCAGCTGCCTCAAATGTATTGAGAATGTTCGGTCCACTGTGTACCGTGGCCGAGTCGGACCGGGTGACCACATGAAACTAGACTGTTCATCAATGTTATCAATAGACTCGCCGTTCCTTTCGAAATTAACTCTGCCGTTCATGTTGGGGCCGGTTGCGACGGGCGCTCGGGGATTGGACGCGTAGGAGACGCGTGCGCGTGAAGCACGTGTGTGGCTGATCAACGAAGAAGCAGCGCGCTGGGACATGCTTCCCTTTCTTGGTGGTCTTCCTTCCTTTGCCAGTTGGGCCAACCAGCGCTTCTGCGTGCCTTGTGCACCTCCTCCTTCACCTGCTCGTCCTCTCATTTCTCAGTCGCTAGCCAACTCCTGTTCATTCCCGTGGATCAGCCTGCTTGACGTGGACATGCTGTCTGTCTCGGATGACCTTCCGCTGAAGAAGACTTCCTCTTCCTGCTCGGGAAATTCAACCACACGTTCCTGCGGAATGCTTCTGCACGTTCGAGGCTTCTGCGCTTTCTCATCAAGGATGAAGAGGTACAAAAGGCACAAGGTGGGGATGCTGGACTTTCCTTGTCGAGCATCCGTCATCCTCGACATAACATCGAGCTCAGCTCCCAGTAGCGCACGATGTACGCGTCCCTCTTCGTCTCCGCTCTCGCAGGTCTCGCCGCGGCCGTGCCTGCGCCTACAGGAAGTAGGCGCAGCGACTGGACGAGTGAGCTTCTAGGCTTGGTCTCCAAGAAGAAACTCACGTTCGACCGGACCGGTAGCTTCAAGGTCGTCTCCTTCTCTGACATGCATTTTGGTGAACGTTGGGGCAACGGTTCATGGGCTGTCTGGGGTCCTTCTAACGTTTGTGATATATCTCCTTCGAGTACTCAACTGTCATTGATGCAAGGAATAGGACAACATGACCCAACAAGTACATTCAATCATTCTCGATCAGGAGAAACCCGATTACGTCGTTTTCAATGGCGACCTGATGACCGGCGAGAACGTCTTCGCGAATAACGCCACTGGCTACCTCGACCAGTGCTTTGCGCCCACAGTCAAGCGCAGGATCCCGTTCTCGTGCACGCACGGCAACCACGACAATGCGAACAACATCAATCACCAGGAGGAGATCGAGTACGAGCAGAAGCACTACGGCGATCTCTCCTACACGCGTATGGATGTCGGCCCTGAGCCTTGGGGAGTTGGTAACTACTGGGTTCCTGTCTATGCTAACGAAGGGGACTGGGCGCCGGCGGTTATCATGTGGTTCTTCGACTCGCGCTCCTTCACCTCCGGCACCGGGAATGGACCTGGCCCTGTCGCCCCCTCGGCCAACTACTACTGGATCGATGAGAACACTGTTCCGGCCTACATCGATGGCCAAAGCGGATTGATGAGGAAGACCGTGCGTATCCTTAGCAACAGAGCCGGGTTCGAAACTGACATCAGCGCATAGTGGGGCTCCCTTCCCCCTTCCCTGGTCTTTGTCCACATTCCCTTCCAGAGATCGGACCAGCTTTACCAGCTCGGCACCCCGGGAGACCACGACGATGAGCCCGATCCTTCTACCCAGGGTACGATCAACAACACCTACACTGGCCTTGACGCACCCGCGTTCACGTCCATCTTCGGCCTCGGCGACGGGCAGAACAAGGTGCTCGCCATCACTTCCGGACACGATCACGGCGAGTCTTGGTGCGCCCGTTCGTCTAACTCATCCGGCATTCCTCTCTGCTTCGACGGCCACTCCGGCTACGGCGGGTACGTCACCCCTAACTCGCAGGTTCGCAATGGCCGTGTGTTCAACCTCAAGCTCTCGGACCTTCGGTCGAACAGCGGGCCCAAGGTCCAGACGTGGAATTCGTACGAGAACAAGACTATCAACGACCAGGTTACCCTTGGTCCGGACTTCATGAAGAACTACCTGTGAGCGAGGAAGGCTGTCATTCTTTGGACATTGCAGTATACCTCGAGCCCTTCCGCTCCTTGCGGGAAGATCACACCCCTTGAAATATCTGTTTCTATTCTTGGATTACTTTGGATTATAGGGAAGATAGACATCTATGGACTATTTAATCAGTTAACGGGGGTGTTGTGTGAGGCAGAGAAGCCTCTGCGTTTAGACCTGAGGTCACACGTGCGCCTCCTGTCCTTCCTATTCCGGCAATGCTATTTCTGGAAATTTCGATACCTCGACAACTGATCATGATCATGCTAGGTGTAGGGGAACAATATCATCATTGCAATAATTCAGGACCGATAATCCACCTTCTACGGGACTGTTAGATATTGCCAGCGCGTAATCGGTACTTTACCTCGACGGACCACCACACGGCCAAACAGCTTCTCAAGCAAGCACGTTCCCTCCCTGTCTTCTCTCTTTCCTACTATCCACATATTCCAGCTCAAGATCTCCATGCATGTAGACTGTAAATAGCACATGCCTCCCGTCCTCTACCCCTCTGCGGCTGGCCTCCTGTGGTCCTGCTACGAACGCACGATGCACTTCCTCACCGTCCTGCTGTTCGGCACGGCCCTCTCCAGCCCCCTACCACGCCAGAACGGACTGTTAGGCGTGCTCGACTGGTCCCTCAAGCGGAAACTGACGTTTAACACTGATGGAGAGTTCAAGGTGTGTGTTGCTGTCTGTTGGATGGAAGAGCTGCGTGGCTGATGAAAGCAGGTGGTGAGCTTCTCGGATATGCATTTTGGGGAGAGGAACGGTGCGTCCTTTGTTGGATGAAGGAAGGTAGTGCTGAGCGATGATAGGGGATGGGACGTTTGCCAGTTGGGGGCCGGAGCAGGTGAGCACATACAGAAAGAGAGGACATCAGCTGATAGACTGAAGGACACGAACACTACTATCGTGCATTCTATCATCCTTGACCAGGAAAAGCCGGACTATGTGGTCTTCAACGGCGATCTCATGACGGGAGAGAACGTGTTCGCCTTCAACGCTACTGGCTACCTGGACCAGATGTATGGTCCTACCATCCAGCGCGGGATCCCCTTCTCCAGCACGCACGGGAATCACGACAACTCGAACAACATCACCCATCTGGAGGAGATCGAGTACGAGATTGCCCACTACGGGGGGTTATCGTACACCCGTGCGGATGTGGGGCCTCGCCCGTATGGGTGTGGGAACTACTGGGTGCTGGTCTACGCTAGAGAAGAGGACTCGGCGCCAGCGGTGGTGATGTGGTTCTTTGACTCGACATCGTTTGTTCCCGACGTGCCGGCGCCTGTCCCGGCAGAGGCGAATTACTACTGGATTGACGAAAACACGGTGCCGCAGTATGTTGAGACCCAGAGTGGACTCATGAAGGCTGTCGTAAGCCTAATCTGCATGCTGAGGATGATGAACTGACTGATGCTGGGATGTAGTGGGGCTCTCTACCCCCCTCGCTTGTCTTCGTGCATATCCCTTTCCAGCACTCTGACGACCTCTGTACACTGCCTACCGTTGGGGATCACGACGACGATCCCGATCCTGCAACCCAAGGTTTCCTCAACAACGCATATACTGGGCTTGACCTCCCGGCGTTCCAGGCGATCATCGGCTTAGCAGAAGGGAAGAACGAGGTGCTCGCTGTGACCTCTGGGCACGATCACGGTGATTCGTGGTGTGCGCGGTCGTATAACGCGTCCGGATTGGCGCTGTGCTTTGATGGACATTCGGGGTATGGAGGTTATGTGACGCCTCACTCGGAAGTGCGCAATAGGAGAGTGTTTAATCTCCGGCTTGAAGATCTGTCAGCGGTCAATGGCCCAATGGTGGAGACGTGGAATTCGTATGAGAATAAGACGACGAATGATTATTTTGTACTAGGACCAGACTTTATGAAGGAATATCTTTAGATAATCACCATACCTCGATCACGCCCGATCAACACGTCATTCATGTGGAGGCACTTTGATCCCGTGTAACTTGATTCGGTGTTTGAGCCGGCCCTAAAGCTTCACCAAATCTTTTCCTTCCGTTCATTATTCGCAGTCACCGACTCATTATTGTCGAGCTCACCGTCACAACATCTCCTTGCTGCTCTCAAAAGGCTTCACAGACCAGTTAATCGTCGACCACCACTCTCCCAACGCCGCCGGAGAGAGGCTGTCGTCAGCACGCAAATCACTTAGCCCACCATGCCGCCTTTCAGCCGCCCAGAGGCGGTCCTCAAACAGGCCGAACACCTCATCACCGTTCACCAACAGCCGGCCGCTCTCCAGCTGCTCTCCGAGTTGTTCACGATGAAGAAGTTCCGATCAACCGCGCTTTCTGCTTTGGAGCCTATCGTCCTTCGATTCGTCCAGCTTTGCGTGGATATGCGAAAGGGACGCATCGCCAAGGAGGGTTTGATGCAGTACAAAAACATCGCACAAAATTCCAGTGTCACCAGTGTGGAAACGGTCGTGAAGAAGTTCTTGCAGATCAGTGAGGAGAAGCTCGAAGAGGCGCGTAAAGAGGCAGATCGTCTGTATGAGGAGAAACTGGCTGCGAAGGAGGTCGAGAAGGAGCAGGAGGGCGGTGAGAAAGAAGAAGTTGAAGATCTCGAGGCGAGTGAGACGCCGGAGCGCGTGCTCATGCTTGCTATCCTTGGTACCGGACAGGAGAGCAGGGAGAGGATGGACCGCGCCCTCGTCACCCCTTGGCTCCGGTTCCTGTGGGAGGCCTACCGTACTGCTCTAGAGACGCTTAAGAACAATGCTCGACTGGAAATAATTTACCAGGTTCGTAACCCTCCAATGCATGCACGTATATGCTGATGTATTTGTGACTACAGCAAGTCGCCCAAATGGCGTTCAACTTCTGCCTCCAGCACCAGCGCAAGACGGAGTTCCGCCGCTTGTGCGACCTGCTCAGGCTTCACCTTACTGCCGCGTCCAAATACGCTCACCAACCCCACGCAATCAACCTTTCCGATCCGGAAACACTCCAACGCCATCTAGACACGCGGTTTGTCCAATTGGATGCTGCCATTGAGATGGAGCTCTGGGGAGAGGCGTTCCGCAGCGTGGAGGATGTACACCATCTTTTGACCCTCACCAGCACAGTGGGTGTACCTGGTGGAGCGGGTGCAGCCAAGAAACCTGCAAACCTCAAGCAGCTCAGTCTCTATTACGAGAAGCTCACTCGGGTCTTTTCCCCTTCCGCAGCTAGCACCATCTCTAGTGCGGATACCTCCCTCTTCCACGCTGCTGCGTACGCGCGTTATTTCGCTACCCTCCGTTCACTACCCAGCAACGGCGGCAAAACCACTGAAGAATTGGAGCACATCGCCGGTGGAGTTGTCCTATCCGCGCTGTGCGTCCGTGAAGAGTCACTCGAATCGAAGAACTCTCAGGGCCTTACGGGTGGTGACGTGGATAGCGAAGACGTGAAGCGCGGAGGTCGCGATTTCCGGCTTGCGACTCTGCTTGGACTTAACACACTCCCAACCCGGCGGGGCATGCTCAAAGAAGCTGAGCAAAAGGGTATTCTTTCCCTCTGTCCTGAGCCTATTCATCAACTACATACACTCCTCACCACGCCTCTCTCCCCGCATACGCTGGCCAAAGACTCCCTTCCGGTCCTCTCCCAGCTCGCGGAACCCAAGTTCTCCACTTATGCGGCATATATGCCCCATCTCCCACAGACTCTACTCACCCATCTCTTGCTCTCGCTTAGCGAGACATACTCTGAGATCTACCTCCAGAGTTTATGGAGCATGACCGCGCCGTGGGAGGGCACGCAGTGGGGCGTCTCTCGCGAGGCAGCTGAAGGGTGGCTCATGGCGCTCTGCCGCCGGGGTGTGCTCAAGGGACGTGTAGATCACGGCCGTGGTGTTGTGCTCTTCTCGGAAGACGAAGGCGAGAATGGCGATGAGCTCCGGGATGTTGCCTTGCGGCTTCAACGGGCGCTCGTCTTTGTCGAAGAGCCGCTCAAGGTGGAGGATCACGCATCGCCCGTCTACCAGGCTCTGCAGGCGGCGCTCGCTGCCCTGCCCACTACTCGCGCTGCGCTTATTCACAAGCGTGCGCTTGCCCAGCGTAGGCAAGAGCTGAGCGCGGAGATGGCGGCCAGAAAGACTAAGGAAGAGCAGCAAAGCAAGCTCGACCATGCACGCGCGGAGAAAGAGGAAGCGGAGAAGAGGGAGCGCGAGGCGGCTAAGACGAAGGAACAGGAACGTGTTAGGCGCGAAATCGAGAGCGTGAGGAAGGGAGAGCAACAGAAGATCGTCCAGGATCTGATCGCCAAGGGCAACATCAAGGTTAATGTTGATGTAAGTGGTCTACGTAGTTGGCCTGTGAAGGGAGAATTGACGGTTGATATCCAGGACATCGAGAATCTCGACACTCAGAAGCTCGTCCAGCTCCAGGTAGAACAGATCGAGAAGCAGAAGAAGGAAGTGAATGATCGGCTGCGGATCATTGCCAAGCGCCTGGACCACACCGAACGTGCTTTCCGCAAGGAGGAGCGGCCCCTGCTCGAGGAAGATTACACCCGTCAACAGGAGGAGGACCGTATCACTTTCTACCAGACCCAAGACGAGACGAAGAAGCGACTTCGTCATCAGTTCGAGGAAGAGCTGTCAAGCAAGGCCCGATTGGGCCGCATGATGCCTGACTACTTGGCTATGCGGTCGGAAATTGAGGGCGAGAAGCGGAAAGAGTTTGAGGCACGTAGGGAGGTGGCGGAGAGAAAGCGGCTGGAAGAGAGGAGGAAACGGAGGGAAGAAGTACTTCGTGCACGCGAGGAGGAGCGCAAGGCTGTCGAGGAAGAGGAACGGCGGATCAGGGAGGAGGAGGAACGCCGAATCCGCGAAGAAGAGGGTATGCTATTCTTTGAACTCCTTGAGTGTACGGCTAACAATCCCACAGAGCGCGAACGCGAAGAGGAAGCTCGTTTGCGGGAAGAAGAAGAAAAGGCTGCCGCGGCTACGGTTGCCAAGTTAAAGCGGAGTGAGGAACGTGAGCGTGAGATTGCTGCTGCTCGCAAACGTGTGGAAGAGGAAGAAGCTCGCGAGCGTGCGCGTGAAGAACGTCGTCGTGCCTCTCACGCTGCACCTCCTGCCGTGCCCGCAGCCGCCGAGCCTGTTGCTGCTTGGAGGCGAGGAGGCCCGCGTGGAACACCATCTGGCACGGCGACTCCACCCCGCGAGGCACCGATCCCTGCTGCTCCTCTCATGAGTGCTGGAGACCGCGCTCCTGATGGTCGTAGGCGGTTGAACCTGGCTCCACGGACCATTCCCCGCCCAGAGACGCCTTCTGCTCCCTCTTCGCCCATACCCGCCCCTGTTCCTCCTGCGCCGACACCTGAACGCAAGGGTGACACCAATGTCGACGATGATGGATTCACGACTGTAACTAGGGAGAAGGCTGCTGTATGGTCGAGAGGCATGGGTCGGAGGGGACGCGGTGGGCTTGGTCGAGGAGGCGCGTAATGCTCCATTCACGAATTTTATCAGTCCTGCAGTATACATATGTGCATTTTTACCAGCTCTCTGCAATGACATCTTTCGTACTCTGCTATCATAAACAATGGGTTGCACCCTTGACAGAGGCATGATTGCTACACCACGTTATCCGCTTGGGTCCACAAAGACATGGACCATCAACCTGGTTCCCCGTCACTGTGAAGCTCGGCTGTCAGTTTCTCTTACATATCCAGCCCACTCATTTAAACATATCATTACACCGAGTGAATGGACTACAAACCAAACACGTATATCTGAGATACGTCAGAGAGATCATCAGAGGTCCTTACGAGTGACAATGACGAGCGCAGCAGGACAAGAACAAATCCGGGCGATTGGATAGACCCAAACAAGGAGTTGGTAGCCTCTACTGATTGGGTTGCAATACCACAGCAGGTACTCCATTCAAGTGACTCTGAAACGCCGTCTCGTCCTGAGCAGCTGGCCTTCGAAGTAACACGTTAGAACGGCCGGGAAACAGGTTGTGGATTTTATGTCATTTTCAGCTCGACCTTGGGCAGGACAAAGAGGGTAGCGATGTGGACGTCTGCTCGCTCGTATTGATGTGGGTGTTGTTGCCTGTATCTGTCCAACTTTCAGTCATCACGCACGATCGCAAACTGGAAGGCCCACCTGGGTCCCAAAATACCACGTGGGAGGCAGCATCAGAAGGAGGACTGCGATATGTCGGATCCATGCATCCGGGGATAACCCACTCATCAGGAATCGCTCGGGTTGCCTTCACTCTTCTTCTTTGTCTCCCTTCCGTCATAGCATGTTCTGCGTCTCATCTCATTGACCCGAAACTCATCAACGATCAGGGCACGAAAGAGTGCAGTATTGATGAACATCAAGGCGGTCGACGAGGAGGAAGACAAAGGTCGTATTAAGAGTGCCGAGACTGTCACTGTATCAAGAGGCCGTCCTGAAGTCGAAAAGGAGCTTCCGTTCAACAATCAGATCTAGCCTCGATGGAGCAAGGTAATCGACATCGGCAACAACTATCGCACCCTGTTCCACCTTGGTGCCGAGCTTCTCCAGATCCTCTCGGATCACATCACGGTCGCCATGTCAGCCAACCGCACGGTTAGCGAGGAGAATGATGTCGTACACATTTGGTGGGGATGACGGTAGGCTGGAAGACGAGACCGTGTATGTCTGTTGTGCCAAGCATTGGTTGTAGAAAGAACGTTGATACTGCTCGTGGCGGGGAAGTTGTGCGGGGTCGTCTGAGCCTGCAGGGGTTGGCGTTGACGTCGTACGAGGTAGAGCTTGGCACGTGTGAGAAAGAGGCGCTTTCCGCCACTTTTGGTCGTCGCCCGCGATTCGGTCGTATGTTCCAGTCTGTTGTAATGCGCCTTGGACCGACCAGTGCAGGACGATCGAGAGCACTGGTCGAATTGCGGCGCTCTTGGGCAAGACGATAAGCAGGTTCGTGTTTTTTCGCGGAGAAGTTGGGCAGACACCTTGGGAAGTTGAGCCTCAGGGCCAATGAACCCAATTATGGTGCAGTACGTACCACCTCCATCAACCAGGGACAGTTATTCTACTTCTTTCCGACAGCACCTCGCC